ACGTTTATTGTTCTCGATATTTTTCCCAACACCTTACACCAGAAATAAAGTATAAGTATATTGTTCCACGGACATCGTGGCTGCGTCGAGACGCCCCCTTCGCTAATTGTCCTGCGAATCCACGGCTTCGTCCCCTGTCCTCTTCTTCCGCTTCCATATCTCGTTGTCGATACTGCGGAACGAAAGCGTTTGTTCGATACAATGGACCATTATAAGTGTCATTAATCATAGATTATTGTAATATTTAATTTCGACACTTCAAAGCCGACTTACTCATCTCCGTCGTCTGTGTAGCCAGCCAAAGTCCGCCAAAGTTTCTGCGAACCTCCGATTCGCAGTGGGAAATCTTGCCATGTTCGAGCATCTGATAGCAACGACAGAATATTACCAGCTTGAAAATGAAGCAATTAATTGATACCATATTTTGTGCGTTGTGAAATGAAATAAGTATTAAACCCGATTGAAAAATTCATTTTGAAATTGATTGATTCGTATCGGACTTCAGAAATGATTAAGTAATGAAATCAATGATCTGGGACATTGATTACTCACCGTCATCCGACGGATATTCCATGCGTCTCTTTATGGGGCCAGAGAAAGGATCTTCGTCGGCGAAAGACGACCAGGATTCAGGCTATCGGGAATAATTGAAAATAATAATAATTGAAAATAATGAAAGGATTAATTTGTTATGTCAATAACAAGCACCTGTGTTTCACCGATGTGTCCCGCGTGTTTGAGAACATTCTTCCGCGACTTGAGAAGGTAGTCTTCGTAGCCATCGCTCCGACCCACGCGAGGAATGTTTTTCGCGATTTTCAAAAAGAATGCTGGCACTTCGTCGGCTTTGGAAACGTTCTGGGAAATGATTGTTGCGACGGTTCCGACTAGAAGCACTGGAAAATAATTTGCACTTAATGAAACTTAGCTGTGGGCGACTCTCATCTGCATTCTCAATCGATAATTCATAATATAATTACAAAAATATTCAATTTAACCCTAAATTTCTCTTCTAACATCATTATCAATCGATACAGTACTGTTAGAAATAACATTACTACCGATTCTTTATTTGAATTCATAATTCCGTCAATTCTATCACAACTACAGGCTCTCAGTTAACACGGATAGCTCAAAAATCAACGAAAATAAGAAACACAATAAGAAACACAATAAGAAACACTCACCACCGACGAAGAAGCTTCGCGTGGATCCCGATGATTTCGATAAGAGCACCATGTTCCTCTCCGTAATTCGATCTGCAAACGGGTCACAGTTCAATTCGCCGTCAGGAGCATTCGCCCCTTTCTTCGGAGAAAGAAAAGACGAGTAACGAAGCAATAATTTCGAGTTTATCCGACGGTCAGATCGACTCGCTGGACCATCGCCATCCTCCGTGTGAGGGTGATCTACGATCGACAGCGTAGAGACTCGCGACTGTCAAGCGACACGCGTCCCGCGGCCGTATGGGGTGAACTGCGCGATTTTTCCTAGGACTTCCTCCATTAAAGCGAAGAGTGGACAGAATACTTGAACATCGTGGGCGAAAAGGAGCCATTCGGTGCGCTCGAACGCAACCCGGGATCCCGGACGCATTTAAATATCCCGGATATTTGCACGGGCATTCGTGATCACGCGTGAAAATCTGATCCCATCGGTGTCCGAATAAATTTTCGAACACGAGATTCGCGAGAAAGACGGTTAACCCTCGAACTCGTAATAGACGAGAGGGTCAGACTTAGTGGCGGAGATTCGCGAAATAATTGAAATCGCTTGTGGAACTCCACCGTTGATCGTTGCGAATGAAAATGGAATAGTACGTTTCTATTTATCGATGGTAAATCTTTGGAGAAAATGTTTATAACTTTTCGCAACAAATATTCCTTATTTTCTGATGTAATATCAATGGTATTCTTCACAATTACTATAAAACAATACCTTGCATAAATTAAGTGACGGAACTATTTTATTTCGATGTTCCATGTGTTGGTACATTATAGAGAATTTAATATTGAATTTTAAATTTTATAATTTTGTTGGGTTAAATGAAATGGCGAGTGAAAGGCGCGTATCGAGTGCAAAGGGTTAATAATTAAGAAATTCCAGCGGTAATTGGCGAGAAGAACGATTCCAAGGCAATGGGTTAGGGCTCGTTCGATTTTTTCGCACGTTCGTGTTACACGTGTGCAACATGGAGGAAAGGGGAAGCCGGAAAGTGTGAAAGCGAGAAAATTGAAACACGGTTTCCCGGGCGGCACTTACCTCGACGTCTGCTCGCGTTGCATTGACGCTGGTCCCTTGGGTTCTGTATTTATCAGGCTATCGACGATTAATTAAGTATTTCGATCGTGTAGCTGCGAATCGGGGACTCGATTCCCCATTTTGTTGAATTAATTTGTGTCGGGTGGTTTCAGCTGGGAAATTATTGTCTGAAGAATTTGGGAATGATATTGAATTTGTTTGTTGGACGCTTTAGAGGAAGAATGAATGGATATTTCTTGAAGGAAAATTCTTAGAATGATTGTTGACTTAAAAATTGAAGGGAAATACATTTTAGACTCTTATGTTTAATTTTTGGGAGTTCAGTCTGTTCGTAGGTGATTAATGTCGTTAACTTTGTCGAAGACACTTGGCAGTATTTATTTGTTATATTTATTGTGGGATTGGAAGATTACATTGATGTGGCAATTGTTTTACTATCGATTTGTTAAGAATTGGTGTTCGGGTTACGTGATAGAAGTGTTATAACCCTTATACGGGTAGGTGAATGATACGTGCTTTCCATATCAAACCGTTTGATCTACATTTCAGATATCGGAAGGAAATTTCGTTGGTAGTAGTGTAATTTTGATTCGAGAATTACTCTGAGAAAACCGCTGGTTCTCTGAAAGTATTTCACATTTGAATCTTAGAATAGTTAGTATATTAACTAGGTATGATACAGAAGATTAAATGATAAGTTCGAACCATTTCATCTTGGTTGAGCATTGTTATGTAATAATTCTTACACATTGGAATCTTTATTATCAGAAAACGTCAGCTACAAATTGACAATAAAAATACAAACTTGAACTTCTGGATGGATATTCTATAATTATTTAACGAATGTATACAAGAACGTGTACAGATTTCTTAATATAAATTCTGTATGTCGAAGAGGCAAGGGGTAGAGAAACATCAAGGAAAAAATCGAGAAAATTAATTTTACAAAATGTAACATTTTATTACACGAGAATCGTACAGTGTAGAATATCGATTAATCGAAGCCACAGTCTGGTTATGTAAGGGCGAGAAGATCCGAATGATGCGGCCAGCCTTGGAGCACCGAATCGATAAACGAGGAATTTGCGTAGCTCGGTTGGCACATTATTATACGTTGATAAGGCGATAAAGCAACATTGATAGCACGTGGATCAGTGATGGCGGGTATAGTATCTTTAGTTGGTATCTTGGCGGCTGACCCAGGCGTTGCAGGTTTCGGCGACGGATTCGCAGATCGAGGACATGGCGCGGCTGGTGATTTCGTAATCTGTGAATCATGGGAACCATTATTTACTTAACAAATCCATGAAAATCATACGAAAAACAAAATCACCGAATTCAAACGGAAATTAGAGGAGAATCTTACAGTTAGAGCAAATCGAATGACAGTGCAGATCATGTAAAAAATAAGAGTAAGATGAAGATTTGATGTCTATGGAATAGAATCTTACAGTAGAGACAAAGGAACAAATTCGAAATTGTAAGAAAAACTGCAGTATTATCAAGAGCTTGATATTTACCAGTGATGGTGCTGGATCGTTTGCCGAAGATGCTGCCATTGAAGGGGGGTTTCCTGTAGGCAGCGTCCACGGTGATGGCGAGGACGAAGACAACGGCGACGATGGCGAGGACGATGCGGCTGGACACCATTTTGATGGGTTTGGAGTTTGGTTTGCTTAGAAAGAGAGGAAGAATCTTTGTAAAATCTTTATAAGAATCTTTACACCCTAATATACCCCCAAGACTTCATTATTAATTACAATTGCTCGCCAACAGCAATAAACACAGAAGGAAACTATAGAAAACTGGTAGACCACAAGCGGAACGCGGATATCTTTCCTGTTTCTAAATTTTTGTAAAAACTCGAGATTCTATTGTATACGTGAATTTACTTACAGATCTAAGGAACGTTGAGACTTGTACGGTAGTTGATGAGAGAATGTTATGAACAAGGCAAAAGTCTCGAGCTTTTATACTAGAGGAAACTGTTAAAGACAAATATCGCCGTCAAGCACAGACACCGCTCATTATTCCGAGCTGTATTCATCAGGCGGTCGGTCTAAGATTGTATCGATCCTTCAAAATGTCGGAATCCTTTATGGCGAACGATAATCGAGAACATTCTTTACAGAAGTACGAACTGAACAATATTGTACAAGAGATCGTTTGAGACTCGGATTATTTTACAATGAATATTCTTACGAACGCTGCAACTCTGATGGTACCTGGAGCTGTGAGATGTCTTCTCGAAGGAGAGGATGGAACTGTTGTGATATCTCCGGAAGATGCCTCGGCTTTTATAGGACACCAACCACGTATGGATATATGCGATATAATATTGTTAAAGAATAATATCGGAAGCCATCTCGGAAAATAATTCGTTTACAGGTTGTTCTGATTGACTTTTATCCCAAGAGAAATTACGGCCTATCTGTTGCGTAGGAAACAGATGTCTGAGAAATGAACGTGAACACTGAAACTTGTACTTGTAAGATGATGCCAGAGATTTTCAATGTATAAAAATATTGTAAAAATGATTATTCAATGCATAGTCCTAGAATGCATGTGTAGCATATCATTTGTAATTGATAAGACTTTTATAGAACATTCTTTGCTTTCGATTAATTTTTAATGCTAATAGCAAGGTACGATTTAAGGGTAATTAAGTAACTTTTTTATAAATTAGAACTGTAGTGATATTAATGGTTTAAAAAAATTCTAAATTATTCGATTATCTATTGGTGATAATTAACCAACTGTAGGGAAAACATTTCTTGTATATCTATGACAAATAAGGTAAACTACCAAATTTATCCCCTGCCAATATTGTGCAGCGTTGACCTTATCTATCAGGAAACTGTTCTATCGAATATCTAGTGTTTGGTGGCACCACCTAGCAGAGATAAGCTGCTACTATTCGGCTAGAAGTTTGAGCAATCTCGTGATAGATGGCGTCACCAATCCGAGGCGAGTGGGATTTTTAAAAATTATTCTCTTTTATATTATTAACTTAACAATTTTTTAATAAATCAGATACGACAATTATGTGTTATTAATGAAATATTTATTATTCTGTTGGTTAAATTGGTCGGCAATTTATCTCTACATTTCTAATTGATTTGCAGTAGACAAAACACGTTTCGGTTACATCAACCTATTTTATCTGCATTTAGTAATGCACTAAAGGAATCCGTTTACATAATAATTGCTTCAATAATTTATATATTTCGTTCAAATTCAATTATTATTTGTATTCACTTGTTTAAATTGAATCTCAGACGTCGAAACATTGACTTCACAGGCCAATCGTATTTCAATAAAATATCTCATAGGACATTAATGAAAATATACTTAATTAGGTCTATAAACCATATACTACGTTATTACAGTTTACATCTGTAATTAACATATTGGAAAAATGTCAATTCAATCTCATTTGACAGGAGGAAGTGGTATGAACAGAATGATTAGTTAATACAGCGTGTTCTTTATTGATCGTATGACAAAACATGAAGTTAGTATCGATTACTTATATTACATATATATTTATATACAGCATTTACAATGATCAGCGTAAAAAGTTCACAATAGCAATGAAGACGCCGCATGTGTATAAGTAAGTCCAGATATGGAAGAATTACCAAATTTCCCGAGTGAACGAACACCCTAATATATCCCCAAGGCTTCGTTATTAATTACGATTGCTAACAGCAACCATATACACTAGTTACGCTCGATAGTACAATAACACGATATTAAGATAGAAGCGAATAGATTTAAGAAATTGATTCGATATAATTTATAAACCGCGTACCTGAAACTGCTTTCGATTCCTCCCCGATACAATTATTAATCGCGTATATTAATTGTAGAAATATTTACAATGCACGGTCACTTAGAACTATAGCCCAGGTAATAATCTGCTTGAGTTGTTCGCGCACTTTTGACAGTTTCGTTTCGATGCCATCTTCTATCTTCTCGTTCCCTTCGCGTACAATTGCGGATCGTTGAAAGTGTTCGGTAGTTCGATTTTAAAGGATTCTAGTCAGACGGATGTGATCAGTCAAAAGTGGGCGAAAACGAGGTTACATCGCGCAGGCATTCTACGATCTACGTCTTATTGTCGCGTCACAACGTCTTCTTTTTTTTTAACGGCACACTAGAAATACACGAACGCAGTGTCGCTCGAGGAACACGACGGATTTATTCGTCTCGTTCGATTCGATCGAACTGTCGGCCTCCTCGTCGCGATCGTCATTGTCCAACTAATCGCTTAAACAATAAATAGTACTCGCACGGTCGCCCTAGTCGCGTGTTGCACGCGCAGCAAATAATCTACAAAATGGAAGACATGGATTTTGTTCTCCTTAACCTAGCTTACATCTTAGTCGAACCTCTGCGGATGTCGATGCGACTTCGCGTAACTATGGAGTAATTTACAATCAATGGAGGTTCATTTAGCATCCGAAGGTTCCCATTCTGCTGAAAATAAAATATAAAATCTTTTTACATCCCATACAGCTTTGCATTCCGTTGTCCTGTGTCGGCGCAACGACACCCGCAGCCTCTCTTGAGTCCATTATCCGGAGTCATGTAAAAGCTAGTCTAATATGGTACAGTGCAGTTTGAACACCTGAGATTTCGCGGCTGGACTACATTACTCTTTCGTTTATTCGTGGACGACGTTGCTTTCGATTGAATTTCGTTTCATTGCGCTGTAAGATTGCCCTGAGGAACTTCCATATTCCCTTAATGAAAACTGTAATCGAATGAATCTCGAGTTCGATAAAATACTCGCAAAAGCCGAAGAATTCAGATACTCAACACCTCTACAGTTTAATCCTTCACTACAACATGAGAAGAGTCTTTGTAAATGAATATTAGACAATAAAATGTGACGAACACCAGAGAAATTGAATGACTCCTCCAGCGTCCGATGAAGAAACGCGGAGGATACTATCGCGAGCGTGGATGGCGGCGCGATTTCTCAGGTATCAAACTATCCTTAGACGTCGATGCACGTTCAACGTGGCATCGCGCTCCCGTATAAATATCAATTTATTGCATAATACACACATCGCACGTCGGTGTCCCGTTCACACGGCCCGACGCGAGCGCACCGTTTCCTCGCGAGATTAGCACGCGAATTGCGTCGGTCGCCGGCGTCGCCTTATCGAGACGAGCTCCCGATAAACGCGCAACGGCGGGCCCGATTATCGGCATCGAGGATCCTGGCCGGTAAGCCGTTTACCTCGGACCCGGCCGAGCCCGCGTGAACCGGACCTAGCGTAGAGAACTCTTAAGCCTAGAAGCGATTAAGCGTCTAACCGATAATCTCAATGCTGCGCGAAGGAAACAGAGGAATCCCGATGTCTTTCCAATCGATCGACGCACGATCTCGGAGATGGAACCGATCGACGGGATCCGCGAGATGATAGCTCGTCCTTTATCGTGGACATTGTATACAAACGATCGATGGATTTACCATAAAACGATAAAATAGGTTACCAAACACGGAACCGATAGACGGAAGACGAACGAAACGTGTTCGATAAGAGACTAACCTTACGCTACTCGGCGCCATCGGCCAGACTAACCTATGAGATATGTGAATTCGTGCCCCGCGGGTTCTTCATCCTCCTCCGTCCTCTTCAGGGGATAAGGTCACAGTTGCAGGCGCTACCACCGCGGCCATTGTCACACTGGGCCATGCACCACATATCCCAGTCAACGTCCGACTCCGTTGACTCCGTTAGGGTCGGCCCTTCGAGATTCAAGTCGGACAACCTCGTATCCTCGAATCTCCGCTCGTCTGGTCTCATCTCGACTCGGAACCGATAGCTGTCGTTCTCCAACGGTTCGAGGACCAGATAGTGGTCCGCGATCGCTAGCTTCTTCAGCATAGCCGACTTGAAGCTTCTCAGCTCGCGATGATCGACGCGATCGAAGTTCTTCGAGTGCTCGGTCCTGATGCTCCTCGAGTTGTCATCTTTCCGATCGTCGCAGAGGCAGGCTCGCGATCTGATCAGGAGCTCTCTGAAGTCGCGGCAGGCCTCGGAGCCGTCGTAGTGGCTGGTGGGAGCACACGGCGTCAGACAGATGCTGGAGAGGCGCTGTATCGGCGACCGGCCTCCGGCGGACTGAAGAACGGCGCTCCGCCGGTGGTCGCAGATCACTCCCGTGATCTCGGGACTCCTCTCCCGTGCACGGCACGCGTGCACGCATGCGTTGTCGCCGGGTTGCGCCCCGACGACGGCCAACACCGACGCCAGCAACACCCACCGTGGCAGAGGCGTCATCTGAAAGTGATGGCTAATCAATACCAGACCGAACGGGGGACCTCCGGCGTTCCGATAGTTCGCGGAGGAGCCATCGAGGGATTGGTTATGGCAATCGGGGACATTCCTCGCGTCTCGGATGCCCTCTACCCTTTCAGGTGTACGGGGTGTCCTCGTTGAACGCGTCTCGCTCGGAGATTTCGTTGCCGAACCTGGATCGGAGAATGGGTGGATGGATTCCTGGAGTAGTCATTGGTATTGGAATGATTGGGGTACAGTTATCTGATAAAACATGTTGTGTTTCTTGTAGAAAGGGGTGAAGGTGAAGATTAGTTCGAGGATCGTTGGATTGGCTTGAGATTATTTGCAAGAGATTGACGATGAGGTTTTGATCGATTGTAAGGAATTGTATAATCGGATTCATCCGGTATTATCGGACACGGTGTAGCTGCGGGTCTAGTCTGGCACGCGGAGCGAGAGTAATACCGGGATCTTGGTATCCGTTATCGGTTTCGGGTGCCGTGTGTCGATAACTGGCCTCTGCTTCGAGTTTGCTTGTGGAACGAGGCGTACGGACCCTTTAAACTTCGCTATAAATTCTACTAATTGTCGTCGGGGCTGCAGCTCGCCGGATCGCTGTTTTTATTCGGTCCGATCTCCCGGTAAACTTCGCTTTTCGATTTCACGACGGGGAAGTTTGCGTTCCGGCGCGCGAGATCGAAACGAAAACGATCCGAAATCCGCGGGATTACAAGCGGAACTCGCGCCGGAGAAACTCGCGAAGAACAGAGTTCCGCGGATGCGGTGTTTTATCGCCTAATCCGCTTCCCGGCGGGCGTGTTTTAATTAAAACGGCAGCTGTACGCACATAAATTACCGCGCGGCCGGCCGGAAACGTTTCGAGGCTCGATGCACCAGTTGCTTTCCGATGCGGGAAAAATAATTGGAAGATCGACGTATCGATAGCCATTATGCGAACGCTGAAACGCGGTTTCTTTGTTTGGTATTGCCGCGGAAATTGCGATTCATCGGCTCGTCACAAAGGACCGCCTCGGTCGGGCCCGCGAATCGAATTGTTTCTGGTGCTCCTTTGTTTCTCTTTCTTCGTGGAAAATTGCGCCGGTTTTCGGGGAGAAGAATGTTTCGATCGTTACCTTCCGTCCTCGAATTTGTTGCTCGCGATGCGAGGCCGCCTGCGGTCCGATCGTTTCGAGTTGATTGGGAGAAATGACTGGAGCGAGACGTGGCTGCGCGGTGCAGGCCGCTGGCTCGACTGTCTGATTACGGGCAGCGTGTGTCGTATTAACTATCATTGACTCTGTCAAGTGACACAGTCTGATTACGTATGAACGTATCGATGGAGCGTAATAAACGATAACGGATCGGAAATCCTTGCCTTCTTCTTGTGGCCGTTTCGAAGTATACCTATGTAACTTCTTGAATAAATTTCTATTCACCCTGAACTTTGCGTCATTGATTTCTCGTAATAAGAAATAGCATTATACGTATCTCTAAGCAATCGACGAATCGTATCATTAAAGTATAAGTAAGAAATAGATAAAGTAGAAACTGGAGTAGAAATCTCAAAGGTAAACTAAGTTAAAAGTGACATTAAAATATCCTAAAATGATGTTTGTATATTGCATTTATTTAAAAAATTTAGTATCGTTGAATCGATTCTTCCCGTTTCATCCCCTAAATTCGTCCCCTGTCAGAAACTTGGTAAATTACGTGCTTCGGGTGTGATTTCGATAATATCTTGATACGTAATTAACAGAGATTGATATGTAATTCGTTGAAGACAATGGGACGCAGAAATTCGGCCAGCGAAACCAACGATTGAACCTCGACACCGATCGATACCGACCGCGTGCATATCCTCCGCATTCCCGTGCATACGCGGAAGGGTTACGCGTGATCGCGAATATTCATGGAGTCCAGACAACGGGCTCGTTTATCTCGGGACACGAATTTCGTGTAACCTAGATTGAAAACCTTGCAAAACTCGCGCGGGCGTCTGTCCCGCACGGATACATGTATTTTTCGTTTCTCCCCTATTTTCGCTTTTTTTGGCATTTCTCGTTAAACCGCGCCCCGCGCGTTTCCGAAAGTAAATGTCACGAGTTGGCGTGAAATTTCCGCGGACGACACAGTTGAAATACACTGCCTACCAAAAGTTTGGTATCAACGCGAGAGTTCAAGGCTTTTGGCTTCGAAAAGTACAATAAAATTGAATGCAATTTATTCTTTAAATGTTACTGGACCTGTTAAAGATTCTATTTTAATTAATAATTTTTCGTTTACTCCTGTAACAGTTATATCAATTAATATTACTTCCTTTTTCGGATGTACCTAATAACTTCTCGAGTTAAAAATGGTAATTAAGGATGTAAGATAAAGAAGAAAGAATTAATCGGTGTACTTAATTGTACTTTATGCTTCGTAGGAATTAAAGAGATAGCGACGTTTAACAAATCTGGAGTCCAAGCAAAAAGTTGCAGCCTGAACTTTTTGCAGTCAGTGTACAGTTCGCGAGCTGCGTTGAATAATTGCAACGACTACATCTGATGGATGCATTCTTCATGAAATAAAGGAGAAATTATTTAACCTGAAGCGTCAGAAACGTGAAAGTCGCCATTTTATATCTCATTGTTGTCTCGGATTACAGTGGCTAATCAATGTCCCGATAGAGTTCTAGAAACAAGTGAACAACCTTAAGCTTCGTGTAAATATGTTAATTTGTTATATAAGATCTAGACAGATAGCCAGCTATCTCTAACTACTTCTGTACAACGCTTTTTATCGTGGCCGAAGATAAGGAGACGTGCAAAGTGTACAACAATATTTTTTCATCGGTTCTTGTAATCCATAGTAATTGTACATCAATGGATTACCATGGAAACTCGTTTATCACTGTCATTCATTGATTACTGAAGAGAATGACACTCGAAGCCTCTTTAGCTTGCATGTTTTTCCTCGTAATTGCACCATTTTACTTACTTCTCAGTGTTATGCAATCCCAACATGTCTAACACTGACAAAATTACACATAAAGCAATACTAGAATCGATATAAACAAGAACAGAAGACTCAGTGAAAATTAACCCCAAAAAATGATCAATAATGAAACAAACAAATTCTACAAAACTTCATATGCTACGTTACAAAACCAAAGAGGAAACGATAAATCTAAAATTCGTAAAACGTCACGCAGTAAAATTACAAAACGATAAGCAAAGTTTTAACAATCCCTGCACGATGCCGAAGGGCACGATAGCGCAACGAAATGCACTGTAAAATCCAGTTTTAACGAATTCTAATTTGCCCACGCCGCTACGCGGGAATAATCTATTTTCCAATAAAGCGTTTTATTGTTCCCAGTAATTTAGCTTTATCAAATTTCCCGATAAATCGTCCTCGCTCCCCCGCGTCGGCCGTTAACCAGAAAACGTGACCGGAATTGGATCCTCCCACCTGTACCTGCGTTTGTATCAGAACTCCGCGGCAAACAAACAATCAATAAACGAACGACGGCGTCTTATCAATAAGGCGGACGCGTATTTTGCTCGTTCGATCGGCGCTCCGGAATCTTTCGCGGAGACAAAAGGGGGATGGAGCGCGCGAAGAAGCGGCGAAGAAAGAAAGTTGGGCGCGGGTAATTTACATCGGTCCCGCCAGACGACGGGTGCTGCTAAGAAATTTATCCCGCGGCGGTGGCGTATTCTTTCCTCGACGCTTCCGGCTACACCGTTTCAATTTAAAGTTTCCCTGGCGAGCGACGTCAGCGCGGAACCACGGCCCCCATCTCGCCGGCTGCGAGATCGATTCCGTTCTTCGTCTTCCGCTGGGACGGATCTTCGTTATCATTGATACTTCCGCGAGAATCGAGTTTCAAGCACCATCTTGTAAGCCGGACGTTTAATCAAGAGCAAAGTTGGTTATTGATGCGCGATGAGCTGAATCGAAGAGTTGTAATTTATTGGTAACATGGTTTAAGATGTAACTCGGATGATGCGGTTAAGTTCGACGAAGGAAAATTGGGGAAATGTTTTTGGTTTGAAATTGATATACAGTATAGTCGGAGGATGTAATCTTTGAATAAGTAAACAGAGTATTTATTGCATTGACATTTACAAAAATCGGGAAATATAAGATAAACTTAATTGGCTTCTGAGCGACTCATATAATTGGTTTTAGAAATTTCTATAGTAGATTATCTTCATTGCGATGGGTTCTTAATTAATATCTTCATATTTGTTGTGAAGAATATTAAGAATAGGGGTTGGAAAATTTTGAAGTAATTTTTGATGATGTGATACCAATAATTGTGTCAACGGAGCAGTCTCGTTCCTACTGGTTATCAATTGATCTTTTAATCTCCATCTACTATCTGTTGTAGGATTTTTTAATTATCCAGTACAAGTACAATATGAAGATATTACTGAGAGTCTATGTAGTATGCCAGTTATCCGAGCATATCATCAAGTATTCAGAAATCCCGTGCTACCATCCGCCTACAGCCCGACGAATCCTCGGGGACGTCCAGCCGTTCGACCGATCTCTATCACTTCAAGAATCTTAATCAAAATTCCACGATGTATCGGTCGAGATAATGTCAATGCTCGGACAGCTATCCCAATCTTCCGGGCTCCTGATTTCCACAGATAATGAGCGGCACCGTAAAATTCCGATTGCGAAACGCGCGAAGACGAAACTTTGCTCCCATTTATCATCATCGTGCATTTATGACAGACAAGATCGCCCAAAGCGCAGTATAAAAACTCAAATAAACATCAACGACATTCTCATCTCATTCGAAACTCAATCTTCGAACGCACGAATCAAATACGATCCTAATTACCAACCCAAAAAATTCATATCACCAAAGCATCCCAGATTCGCTCACAAAAGCTCTAATAAACATCAACGACATTCTCATCTCATTCGAAACTCAATCTTTGAACGCACGAATCAAATACGATCCTAATTACCAATAAAAATTCATATCACCACATCCTCGATTCGCTCTCAGAATCTGGGATTCGCGAAACACCTCGGGTTCCATCGAATATATAAGAGTGGCAAGAAAAAGACAATCCGCCCCATCCGAAGCAGGAGAATCTCGCGGACCGCTCAGCGCTCCGCGCCGAGAACAACGAAACGTCGTTAAGGGAGGATGAAACTCGTGTTCGACACCGTTGATGTAACGGGTGTCCCGCGTAGGAAGGAAGAAGGACACAGGGTGTATCGACCTCAACAACGCGTTACGTACGCTCGCCGGCTGGTTGTTACGTCCCTGGCAGTTTCTGGGTCTCGCCCTGTCCTCCACCCTCTCACGAAGGACGGAGGAAGTATTGATTAAATTCACCGTCGGCCATTTTGTCCCTCCATCCGATTGGCTGCCGTCCATTTTGTCCTTTCCGCCTCCTCGTCCCCCGGCCAGGCCGCGTTTCTTCCTCTTCCCGGCGTTCCTCGTTCCCTTCGCGTCCCACGCGCCCTCTCGCTCTCTCCGGCCGGTTTTTCCTCTCTCGCCGCCGTGTCCTTTCGCCGTGTCCCGCGGAGAGTGCGCGGGCGTCGCGACATTTTCCGCGGAAGGAGCCAGCGATCGAGATTTTTTTGCTCCTCTCCCGTTTTTCCTCCGGCACCGCGTCCTCCTCCGGACGGTTGTTTTTCCGCCCGAGGAAAAACCGTCAGCTCTCGCCGTGTCCGGCGTTCCGGTGCATCTGTTGATTCGGTGCGAAACGACGGGAAGCATGCGCGCGGAATTTTTATGAGGGTTCATTAAGGGTATCGGATGCCACCGATGGAGAGCGTTTCGGCTCGCTCTTAAACTTTTTGATAGACTCCTTCGGAATGCTGATGGCGGTTCATAATCTGCGAGAGGCGCGGCGGGAACTTTTTAACGGAGGGCCGAGGAGGGTCCTGAATTGGGCTTGATTCCGTTGAATCTTTAATGAAAGGCACGTCTGGATTTTAAAGGGTTCGCGGCAATCATTGCCGGTTGAAATTTTGGATTATTCCAAAAGAACTGAAACTACCCTTACACGATGCTTCAAATTCTACGTTTCGCGAACGCTGCAACTCTTAAAGTAAAATGTACCTTGCTCCAGAGAGAAGTAAAAAGGACTCTTGCTAAGTACTTCATCGATAACGTTCCTGGAATCCTAGCAATTATTAACAACAAAACCGGAAGACAGAGCACGTGATAACGGAATGCGAAGGAACTAGAAACGATATCCATAGAAACGCTGCATGAAGATCAAGGGACAGGAATACTGAAAGAGACGCAAAGGAAAAGGTTGCAAAGAAGGGAAAGATCAGGAGAAGCGCGAAACTAATAAACCATAGATAAATGCATATAAGTCAACTAAATAGATAGCCAAAAGTTCTTCCTAACCCAACAGAAATTTACACTATAAATAATAACATTAACAACGGAAGAGCTCCGCGCGGAAAGATTGCGAAGACAAATGAATGAGAAGAACGTCGTAGGACTGTCGATACCGAGTGTACCGAAAAAGACGTGTAACGGAGGGGGCCCTTTATAATTCGTTGTATCTCGGCGAACAGCCAAGCGTGCCGGAGATTTCGCGGCTGGGTATACTCTGGGCTCCGTAGCCATCGGGCGGCCGAGCCAGAGTACATTCGTAAACATATAAAAGCGACGGCGTACGGTATCCGACACGAAAACCGCACACAGCCGTCTCTCGCCCGGTATCTCGAGGGCGAGGAGGCCGATAAGGGTGAGCGACGACCGATACGTCATCCACCCTGTGACGTCAGGTACGAGCCCGTAGCCGCGATTGGCCGAAGCAAGCCACGCCCGCGTCGCCACCCCCTGGAACGGCACGTCGTGTACAGCGAGCATTCGCCGACACGCCCACGCGGAAAACACCCCCAGCGCTTAGGGGTGGGTTGCGTGGGATGTACGAGAACGAAACTGGGTCAGGCAGACTCGAGGCAGGCCGAGTCAGGCCGAGGCTCGAGAGTCGTCCAGGCGTTTTCGACTGGAAGCAGTCCCTTGGAAACCACCCCGAAGCCCGTCGTCGCTTCCGACCAGTCTGCCGACGAACCAACCCTTAACCATCCTCACGCCGCCGCTTGGACACCGCTTCGAACCTCGTCCGCGTTAGCGAGCACGTCGACGGAAGCTGAAACAGTTAAGGGAACGGATTTGGTGAGTGAGAGAAGCTTCGTACCCTTCAGCACTTGCATCCCCCTTTTTCACTTGCGGTTCTTTGGTTGCTGAGGAGTTTGGGGTTTATTCGGCGACTCCGGTGGGCTTTCGACGGAGGGTTAGATTGAATGGGAAATCGTTGGAGGATCTTGGTGAGAACGGTTGATTTTTCAGTTAAGCGGTTTTGGGGATTTTTGATGGTTGGAGAATGATACTGGGTGTCTATTGGGGGTAGTTTCGTTGCTTGGATCCTCTAACTGTTTTCTAGCTATAGATCTTCTAATTACTCTCTAAGTCACTGCTTTCGATACATTCTCATTTAGCTATTGGAACTCTCGCTTTCGTGCACAACTCACCTTCGCTGCATTATTCCTGTTACTACTCGAAGATATGTAAATCTTTCATGATTCTTCGATTCATTTGAATACTGTGTCACGCTGGCAAGTATCATGATTGTTTGTTTCGCAAATTGTCACGCAAGCTTCGAGAAAGCACGATCTATCATTGATATCTACTACTCCTTTCGTTGTATGGCTAGAATGAAAGTTTCTCGAGCAACTTTTCGTCGATTTTTCTCTAGTGTTTGCCTTGCGCGTTAGAGCTGAATATTTTATCGAGTGATCTATAGTGCCTAACCTTTCTCCGAGAGGATCTATCGCTTACTTTCCGCGGCTCGGAGGATCCGTCGATCGGTTCAGAGAGCAGCGACCGGCGTCGGTGCCTCTATGATTGTCTGATACAATTTTCCTGTTTTGTTTTCAGTAACTAGGGAAAATAAGCTCTGTTTTAATTCTTTCCTCGAAGTGTCTGCACACGAAAATGCTCTCTGTCCATGTTTCTTTGGTCGCTCGGCCTGCCGTGCTCCTTCGGCGTTTACTCTCGCTTCGCAGTTTGTGCAATTTTTCTCTGAAAGCTCGCTCCGAGACGGTTGAAAGCAGCGCGAAACACTGAAGCGGACACTGTTGTTGATTGTTGTAGGGACTGAGGCGAGGGGCACAAGCAGAGACATGGACAATGTGCAAATGATCGGCACTAAAATCACAGCGATCAAGGAATACTTATATGTAAGGCGTTCCCATATCGCTGCACGTTCATTCATCTTGTTTCTGTTCGATTCATTTTACCTTTCTTTTTAATTAGGCTGTATTGCCGCTGCGTTGGAGCGAGTCGTGAATAATCTCCCTTTCGTTGTAAATCGCTGTAAATCGTTATTGTAGCGTTTATTTCGTATCGTCTTTTCCAGACTGTAAACCTTTATGTTCTTATGCCTTATGGAAGTTTGAAATAAATATAATAAAATATGAAATTTTACACAATTTTAGGTTATTTTCACTCCCTCTAGATTTATGTAATTAAACCAACGAATTGAATTGAAATATTTTTGTTGCTTGCGTCTCATGATCTCGACGAAGCGAATATTTGTTATCGGAGAATATTAATGACTCGTTTCAATAGTGTCTTGTTTTATGTTCAGTAAATCTTCTCGTGCATCCGTTTACCATTGCCTAGAAAAGAAATGCTTGTTCTACTTTCTCTCTATCTCTCTCTCTATCGTTCTGACAGGTTTCACTTTCTGTGAGTAATAAGACTGATAGTAAAACGATGCTATAATGCCAGTAACATGTACTGTGTATGTTTCTGTGAGGATCTCGATCGGTTCGAAAGACGTGTTCGTTGTGAATTCCAGAATTTCGCCCGGACACATTCACCCACCAGACTAATGAGCTCCGAGAACACGTACTCGCTCTCCAGGGAGCATTGTAACCTGAAGTATTCGGGTAAGTTTCAATTAACAATCAATTAAAATTTACGTTCGTATTGAAGCATGTACAATGGAAGAACAATTGTATAGTGATATGGAATGAGTAGAATTGTCTCCTCGAAAACCACACACGAAGACAAATCACTAAAAGTCTCGATCAAACATACTTGTATTCCTCCTACACGAATGCTAATAAATTTACAAATTTATTTATTCAAAATTCGCTTAATACCTAAAACCTACTATAATTAAATTACTTGCCAAAACACTAAGAACATTTACAGTAGTTGAAATACTAATCACTTCAGAGAAATTTCACCTTCACTGCATGTCTGACCACGAACAATCCCTAACTACTTCAGCCTCATTGCTACAACAACAACCACTAACAACAACAACAACAACAACAGTCATCAAAAGTTGTAATACCATTTAGTAAACTGTATAAAAACTATCCATCTCTGTGTGTCTGACCACTAACCGTCCGTATCTACTTAAACCATATTTCCTTACTTCTCGAGCGCGCCACGGACAGACATAAATTAGCAGCTATATCGGAGCATTCCCTCGTGTCCCCTAAATTCAAGAGCTGCCTCGGCTCCTCGAGAATGAAATCCCGAAGTCACAATATTGTCCTGATTCCGCGAGGCTCCGGGAAGGGTGCATAATAATGGCGGATTTAGAATTGGCTTGAAGAGGTTCGTAGCCAACGAGTGGCTGAGGACAGATTACACGCCGCAGAAAGGGCGGAAGGGTTTACTCGCCACGGCCCTGTTTGCCGTTCGGGATGTGTCGAGCGCCGATAAGGTGTCCTCGTCGTAGCCGAAAATCAATTTTAAACTATTCCCCGTGTAACGCGAATCCATTATAATTTTCGTTGACCTCGCGTCGAAAATTTTTAACGAACAGTCTCGTTTACGAGTTTAAATTGCTATCGACATTAATGGCGTATAAAATTTTAATTGTCCGTTACTCTTCTAGACTTGATTTACTAACAATAAAACCTCACGTTTACGACGACAGTAATTTCTTTTAGGGCTCAATAATTATACCTAACCGTTCGTGATTACTAATTGTGCTTCTGTCATAAATATCGCCCACCTGTTTTTGATTAAATACTAATTACTTCGACCTTTATCAAAAGCATTCTACTTTACCGGGAAATACTTTACATTGGATTTACATGAAATTAAATTATATTGACGACTGAATTAATTCGTACAATTTATATCGAAGGGATATCCGCAGTCCACAAAGTACCCGTGAAAAATCCAAGCGAACTCTCCACTCATTACTATAAATTAACCGGGGCAATCCCGCTTATAAATCGCTGGAACTAATTGCCGCGTGTAGCAGCCCCTAGAAGGCGCTTTGATTAAAGCCCTGGACCAGGGGTCCGGTGCATCTGGTGCCAAAACAAGTTTCCGCTTCGAGCTTGAACCTGTAATTGGATATTGCACGGAATCGCATGCGTGTCTGCGTCTGGTTTCTGCACGGTCGAGCCTCGATTACCGTTCAACTACACGTTAATCGTACAGAAAGATCGCCGATTAATTGGATTTCAAGTATTTACTGTTAGCCCGGCCTCCGCGAGAAGCGACATAAACCTTGAAAAGAAGGAGAGTCTGTCGGCCTCGCGACGTTAGATTGATAGAGCTGGATTAGCTCGAGCAGAGCCCCTGGAAGCTAGGGATTTCCCTTGTCTAACCATTGGCTCAGGCCGATTCACCATAAGGTTCAGGACTCCCTTCTTTTTCCATTTGACTCTCATTCACGTGATCATTGAAAGATAGCTGTCCCTTCGAGAAACATTTTCTTTCTGAACCAATGTGCTCCTTTCCTCTTTCTATTTTATGTTGTGAAATAACACTTTGTCATTCGTACGTCTTTGCTTGGTAACTCTAATTAAAAATGACCGATTAAGTCATTCACTTAAGACTCATTCACGTGATCATTGTAAGATAGCTGTCCCTTCGAGAAACATTTTCTTTCTGAACCAATGTACTCCTTTCCTCTTTCTATTTTCTGTTGTGAAATACGCACTTTGTCATTCGTACGTCTTTGCTTGGTAACTCTAATTAAAAATGACCGATTAAGTCATTCACTTAAGACTCATTCACGTGATCATTGAAAGATAGCTGTCCCTTCGAGAAACATTTTCTTTCTGAACCAATGTACTCCTTTCCTCTTTCTATTTTCTGTTGTGAAATACGCACTTTGTCATTCGTACGTCTTTGCTTGGTAACTCTAATTAATAATGACTGATGGATAGAATATTTAAGATTATTCGTTAAGAATATTTCCTGTTGAATCGCTGATATCTGTAAGTTATTTGGAAAGTTTCCATTGTTACCATTGCTCCAGAAAGAGAATACCGACTTTAAAGGGCGGCTGTTGTATCTCCGTATCTGTTTATCCATGGGATCTCCTTAATGCAATGGGAAATGAAGGGTGGTTTATTCGACGGGATAGTTTATGGTTACCCTGCAACGGAAGGACAGTTCAATCTACCAAGGATTTACCAAGAGAACATTGAAATGCCCCGCTGCAGCCAGTTTATGTCGCAGAACTTTCGGAATTGTATACAGTGTCTCGCAAACTTCTATTACCTTATTTCCGTGCGAGTGTCCGCGGGTGTGTCTCGTTTCCTAGAATGTTTATTTCGCTTTTCGCTGCGTCGAGAATTAAACTGAAATGGAACAGAATTTTTACGATCATAAGGGAACTTTATGTTTTACAATTGTCCTTGGATACTTGGTTCATTTATCTATGGATCAAATACAATTGTTAGAGTTGGACTAAAGATACGATAACGAGAAACACAGATAAATTCTAGTGGATGTATTAAATAGTTGCATAAACGTTCAGTTCTGCAAGTGCATGAAACACAAACGAATCGCACGTCGCCGAGGAAGAAGATGAACGGGAAGGAAGAACGGAAAGAAGAAGACGAAGTGAGATGGTGTCATCCCACCAAACAAGTGAGAGTGTGTCAATATAGGTCTATACTTTCAATTGTTTGATGAGGTGAAATCATTCTAATAATTTCCGTTTTCTGCGAGGACGTCGGAGAGCCGACGGTAGGTCGATATACACGACGGAGCGCTGGGCAATCGGGCGCTCGATAAAACGGTATCAAATCAATCAATGTCAATATCGTAGAAGAGATTTCACTTGATTATAACAATTAGAGAGTCACCGTAGACGATTACGTTAGCTACTTGCCTCCTCTCTGTTATCAGAATCAATTCATAGGTTGCACAAAATCTCTCTGTTGATCGCTCGGATCGGTATCAATTTCACGAATCCATATGATTACTGTACGAACTGTGATAAATAACACAAGGTTTGGATCACTGCAAAATTACGAATACAATAATTGCTAATCATTTTAGAAAAGTATTAACTAAAATACTAAGAACTGAAGCTAGTACTAGTAACTCGGAGTGAACTGGTTGCACTAATCCGAACCTAGCTCTATTCTCAGCTTAATATCTATCAAATCACGGTTCAAAATAGCATTCGATGAAGATGATGATTGAATTAACTGTCGAAGAGAAGCTTCAAGTCCTGGTCTGCGTATCTCATTTCAATCGACCACGTTTCTGCTCTTAGACATCCTGCCACACAATGCCGAAGGTTTCCCAGCTACCAGGGAGTTCCTGATGAAGGTGGTCGACATCCTGTTGGATTTCGTCAAGTCGACGAACGATCGGAACGCGAAGATCCTCGACTTCCATCATCCCTCCGAGATGATGCGGTTGCTGGATCTCGAAATACCCGACAGCGGTCTGACTCTCCAGCAACTGCTCATCGATTGCTCCACCACTTTGAAGTACCAAGTGAAGACTGGTGAGTTTGTTCATTCGACTTACAATCGCTAAAAATGCTTACTATATTGTACACTCTGAAGACTGACAATCGGAAGAATATCAGGAAACACGTGTGAGAATGCTAATAGCTTTCTGAACGTGGTACGAACACATAAGAATACATCATAAAAATGAACGGACAGAGGCGATGATTTCCAGTAGGGAAGTTAGGTCGGTTTTATCGTGTTACCAGGCATAAACGAGGGCGATAAGCCACATAATTTCATATTCAATTTAGCATACGCTCTCGAGGGCGCAGATAAGGTGACTAGAGACACTTCCAGTCTTTCCGCCCGCTGCAACCCCCGGGATGTACACATTACCGCGCCCATGTGATAAATGAGGGGATGTAGCTAGCAAAAAAGAACCGTGGAAGATAACCCATGCGCACTGTCCATGCTGCGTTGTCGTAAAGATCGGAAAGATAGAAATATCCCGAATAATGATACCAGTAACATTCAATGTCCCGCAAAATGACTCTTACTAAAGCTATCGTTATCAATGCAATATTATACTCTATCTAACAATTTTAGGTACTCGTTAACATCGTACGTTACATTCTTCTCAAGATCCAATAAAAATCATTTCCTGTTCCATAAGCTTTTACCTAAAAATCGATGCATAGTGCCAGAAAAAATTGATTTGTCGCCTTGTATCTCCTCAAGAGGTGATAATATCTCCAAAACTATTATCAATACAATATTACACTCTACCTAACACTCTTAAGTATTCGTTAACATCGTACGTTACATTCTTCTCAAGATCCAATGAAAATCATTTCCTGTTCCATAAGCTTCTACCTAAAAATCGATGCATAATGCCAGAAGAAATTGATTTGTCGCCTTGTTGTCTCTCCTCGAGAGGTGTTAATAGCTCCGAAACTGATCTAAGCCGATTATCATGACGGCCGTTGAAAATTTCGCGCGTAGACGGCGATCTATCGTTGGCCGGCCGTCAAGACCGAAGTATCTCGGAGCGCGGTGCGGCGAAAGTCAACCGCAAATCCCCCGCGAAAGTTCGTTATCTCGGTAGGATTCGATTACCAGCTTGAATAGATGCTAATGCACAATGGAGGAGGGCTAACCACTTGGGCCAGGAATCAGTCTGCGACGCAGACGAGAGCTACCCTCCGTCGGTGGCCGCGTGCGCGATATACGCGCCGACAAAAACTCGTTATTAGATTATGTGCTGCGAGACCTGGCGAGCGCAGTATCGCCGATCTCTCTGACCGTTCTCGAAACCGTGAAAGGAAGTGTCCTCCCCGCCAGCCGGGGGAGAATCAATTGATTGCAGATACGCTCGAAAATATTTTCGAGGGGATGGATGATAAGAGCACGCCGACGACGGGCCACGTGAAGTATGGGAGAATAAAAAAGACGAGATACCGGTGGGAGATAGATAACGTCGTTAGCGTTCGAGGTAGACCGCTCTTCTTGGCGAATGTTTTATCTGTGACGGTTAATGTTGCTCCGGAACGTCTCTCGAGTGACGAAACGTGAGCTCGTAATCTGATTTGGATCTAATGGTCTCGTGAATTGACGAGTTGGTTTGATTTGGAGTGTTCACGAATGTATGAAGTATTGTGTTATTACTGGTAGTTCGTTTGAAAATGGAAAATTATTGAAGTGAGGTTGGGATAGTTTAACAGTTTAACGGTTTGAAAGTCTAATAATTGTGTAGATAGCAAAGCCTGAGCGGTTTCTCTTGGAAATTAATTTTAATTGGATATCCTTTGCTGGAACAAAGTTCGGGATAGATTCACGGTGTTGCTTATTAGAAGTTCCAGGATTATTAAATAACGTCGAAGCAAGGACTGAAAGTTCCCGCCGGAAGCCCGGCGGAATTAATTTAAGTTTCAGCCGAGCGCTCACTGGCCCGCGATTAATTATTTTTCGATATCGCACACGTGCCAAGCTTCAACGCGGCATCGCGAAGCGTTTCCTCCTCATTGCACCCGACTTTTCCAGGTCGGTTCATCTGGAGCATCTATTTTCGATATCTACAAGACGCTGCTAGAACGAAGACAATACCCCCCCGCGATTTCAGGTCACGCGAACTCTCTCAATCCATTCGAATTCACCTTCCCGAAGAATCTCTCTATCGAAAACACGTCGTTTTCGCATAAAGGAAGATCGATCACGAACGTCGCTACCTGAAAACGCGGACATAATCAATCAAGATTTCCCTTGTTCGCCGGTACCAACCTCCTGCGTCGTGAAATGCAATTCGCTTGTCTCTTAAGCTGTCTTCGAAATGTCTGACGAACATCAAAGTTCAATCTCCAAAGATACGTGGACTAACCCTTTGTGGACGGGAATCTAAACTTTTGAAATCTTTTGACAAACTGAATCATTCGTCTAAATCTTGAACACCGGAAAAGAAGGAAAGCTTATATTAACATCGGATTCTTCGAATAATTGAATCTCTCATTAGCGACTTTCGATCGTAGATATTAACCCTTAGCACTCCAGGTTGCTTTGTAACTATCAGCAACTGCAACTAGTTTTTATAGTATTCCGAAAATGATAAATGCTATAACATTTCTTCGGTCTTTTATTTTCCTTCTTAGTACCAAATTTGGATGTGTGGAGAATCTAATAATTTTAGGGTAGTTTCTTTAAGATTCATTAAAATCTTTAATATTATGACTGGTGCAATATTGGAGCCTACAGAGTGCAAAGGGTTAAACCTTGAAGTCACTATCATATGAGTCACTCAGAAGGCAATGCAGTTAAGTCCATTTTTTGGTATTTCCTGATTGTAAATTTTAGTCAAATAAATGATATTCTTTTGAGCTTCTATTCGCAGCTACTGAATATGTATAATAATTTCAGAAGTCAAACTATTAATTTCCTCAATCTTCGTTCTCTGAACTTTCTATCGCGTTAACGCTCGTCGCAAAAAGTGAAAGTAATAACCCAAGGCAAGAGGAACATCCGTTGTACCAGAGTTTTCCAATTTTCCGAAGATTGCACTTGTACGAGGGTAGTTTTTCTGGAATCCCGGGGAATTCGTGAATCGGCGGAAAAAAGTACAACGCAAGCGGCGGCGGCCGACGAAAAAACAGCGCTGTAGCGTTAGCGCACGTGGCACCACTGCACGGGGTGGCGGATTCAATAGGATCGGTGTAATTAAGAGCCATTTCTACACGATTTTCCCCCGGTGGCGATGGGGGGAAATAGTAAATAGGGGCGAGCGAGCGGGGATCGACGGAGCCGATCGCCCGCAGGGCGAACCCTTCGTGAACTTTCGGCACGAAAACCATCGGGTACACCCATCGGCGGAATTTAAATTGGTATCGATAGCCGGCCATGGAATGCAGAAATCGTTTCGTCACGGAATGCGCAGGCCGTTACGTCACGGGACCGGTATTTGAACAGTATCGCGATGAACATAATGGAATCCGAATCGCTAGAAATCACGGCCGCATCGGTATCTCCGAATCCACAGGAAATTTTTACAGAATTTCTGTCGTGTTTGATGAGCAGTCAAAGTTCATCGATACTATTTGATTTAACATTGCTGATTCTCTTGAGAGTTCCTGATTTTTTATAATTATTCATACAGATAAATAGTATAGTTTCTAATTCTTTATAATTATTCATACAGATGAATAGTATAGTTTTTGATTCTTTATAATTATTCATGCAGATAAATAGTATAGTTTCTGATTCTTTATAATTATTCATACAGATAAATAGTATAGTTTCTGATTCTTTATAATTATTCATACAGATGAATAGTATAGTTTCCGATTCTTTATAATTATTCATACAGATGAACAGTATAGTTTCCGATTCTTTATAATTATTCATACAGATAGATTTAATATTAATTTTTGATTAATAGAAGTAGGCACTTTTGCAAGAACAGTAAGTTTTAATGAGAAGTTTCCTTGAAATTCTTCAGTTCATTAATATATAAAATTGAAGATTATATAGTCGATGAGCATAACAGTATAAAATATGATTCCGCTATCCATAAATTCGCGAGCGTAATAAGACGAATGGTCGAAGATCACGTTCTTTAATAACGCTTATGTCTGGACTGGAGGCAACCTGTGTTACACGCCGAATGTTTTTCTTACTTACGAGCGATATGATTGATTACGCGGCATTAGCGTTAAGTCGGGGTTACACACTTCTCTTCATACAAATCCCGAGCGCCGTAATATATTACCGTGGTCTGCGCCGAGCAGGTTCCCTCGGCCCCTTTTCTCTTTGCTGCTCGGGGAAAATGGCAAATTAGTCGGAAAACGATGCCCTCCGACGTTGTAATCGCTCGCGAGGGCAACTCGCTAGAAGAAACAAATCGTGAAACCTGTTCCATCGAACGTACCAACTTCACGGGAGGAAACATGAATTTCACAGAGATCTGTTCCGAAGTGAATTCGTTCGATCGAAATGTAACGATGATTAAATCGATCTTAAACGTGTTCGGAATATACACGCCGCTCGAACAGCGTTAAGAAGCCGAATCGACAATGGAAATGAAATTCTCCACGGTCCATTAGATTTAACAAGCGAAAGTCTATCTCGTCATTGCTCCGTGGTAATGGAAAAGAATCTAAGGGGATCCGACCGGAAAATCCCTGCAGCTCCGCGGAGAATTAACATACCCTTGAATCTGCATAATTCGCCCAGCCAGTCCGGCTTATCTCGATCCGCGCGGTGCAGTCGTGTTTGTTTTTCCTATCTGCCTCGAAAACAGCCGAGCATTGTTGTACCCCATCTTCCATCCGAGCACGGAGCCCTTCGAGCGTTCCGCTATTCATGATAACAATTAATCCTCCCTCATCTTCCCTTTAATCAAAAGTCCAATCGAACAATTAAAAACACGAAAAATTGAATGAATTAAATGTTTACCCTTCTAGTATCCCGTTTCTCGAAAATTCGTGGTTCTCCTCGGGCCGCGACGATCTGCATAAAGCAGATCGACTTATCTCGCGTTGGTCGTCCGAGACAGTTTGTTTTCCCTGCGTCCTCCGCCGGTTTGAGAGCCTCTGCAAACAATCTAGTCGCGCAGCGACGCGTGTGACGCGCAAAATGCGGCCGCTTCGGACCATCGACCCTCCTTCTACCCTTAGCTTGAACCCCGACCCACGGTACTCTTGGAAAAATCGACTGGGCGAGAGGGCAAGGGGCGGCTGGGGGTTGGGCGTCTTCTGACGCGCTACGAACCGGACGCGTGCCACGATCCACAGACCAAGATAATTGCGAATAACACTGCGACAAACGGCTCAGATACCGCTGCACGATATCGCGTTTCAGGGGTTGACTTTTGTGTCGATGCGTGTAGCTGTGTTTCTAGGGGTTGTTGCCTTTGGTTGGCTGCATCGGCCCTGGGAAGCTAAAGACGATAGCAACCTTGTTCGAGATATAAAAAATATTTTGCTATTAAATTGGTAATAATGGTAATACCACGCGATGGGTTGTAGAATATTGTAGACAGGGAGTTGACTTTTATGTCGACGCGTGTATCTGTGTTTCTAGGAGTTGCCTTTGGTTGGCTGCATCGGCCCTGGTAAGCTAAAGATGAAGCAACCTTGTTCGAGATATAAAAAATGTTTTGCTATTAAAATTGGTAATAATGGTAATACCACGCGATTGGGGATTGTAGAATGTTGTAGACAAGAGGTTGACTTTTGTGTCGACGCGTGTATCTGTGTTTCTAGGGGTTGCCTTTGGTTAGCTGTATCGGCCGTGGGAAGCTAAAGACGATAGCAACCTTGTTCGAGACATAAAAAATATTTTGCTACTAAAATTGGTAATAATGGTATTCTACGCGATAGGGTAGTATATTGTCGACAAGTTGAAATAAGAATTGCAAAGAGTTGCACTTCGAGGCTGTTGAATTTAAAAGAAAACAGAACTGCCCCAAGATGTTGATTAAAGATCTCTGATTCAGATTTAATTAAACAATTCATGTTTCTTGTGCTTCTGACGAAATAATTTGAAGAATTCAAGGTGATTCCATGATCTTGAACATTGAACCGACTTCCTCAATCGGAAAATCCTCAGGCTACAGCTACAGATGGGCCAAGGGGAGCATTTAGCCCCTGAAAGACCGGCGTCATACGTCAATCACTACGTAATGCCGTGAGATTAAAATGTCCGGACGCCAGCCCCGTAACGTTCATTCGCGTTTATCGTACTGCGAGAAACAACATATTAAGAGAAAACAGTGGTCTCTTTTCGGAGGCAGTTCTCGAGGAGCTATCGTGGTTATCAAAGGTCCCAGGGTTATCGAGCACCCGGGGGAGAAAGGTCTTTCGCGGCCGGATATTCAATGGAGTGAATCCATCAATTCTCGGGATCAAGGGATCCACGTTATTTTAGAGAACGATAGGACATAAGGTTCGTAGGGTGCGACGGATGGAAATCCTGCGTCATGGAAATATAGCGCTAGGCATATTTCAACAAATTTCGTATAAAAGTACCAAAGTATCAAGTGTCCTAATAAACCAGTAGAAAAACAAGAAATAACCAACAATCTATGAATATATCAATGAAAATCACAAATTACAATAGGAAGAGGATAAGAAGTCTCAAATATGATATAACGGTTGATCTTTAAACAATTCAAGTTGAAATGATAAAGGGAGGCTCAGAAATTCTAATTAAAATAGCAGATACAATTTCTCCCTTGAAACGAGATTTGAATTGAGACAAACGTCAAAATGGAATTGCTCGGGAGCTAAAAATCCGAGCGGTAATTCCTGTAGAAAATAGCGACGCACTTCGCGTATGAGAAACAGCAGAATCCCGAGCGCTGGTTCCCCCAGTTGCATCAGGAGGCGAGCTCCCATCGAACAGAAGCATTAACCCTGATCCTAGCGCGATGTTCAGCAGAGCGGATGACAACGTACTCAGCGAGCGGCTTAAAGCTCTCTTCCCGCTTTCTGCCCGCGTGCCTTTAACGTCCATCTTCCGCGTCGGGACCACGAGTACAGTGCAGAATTTTTGGACACGTGCCACGTCAGCATTATTAATTATCCCCGGCGTGCCAGCAGACTCCGAACAATCACTGTCGCGATACAATTAGCACACTTCTGATTTATCGCTGGAACAATTAATTAGAAAGTTTTGATCCTATCGCACGAGGATCGAAAGTAAACTTTCGCTGTTTGGAACCAGTGAACTAGAATCAGATTTTCGAGCATCGTCTAATGAATTCTTCGATGCTCTTTCGAAAATTAATGACTGATAGCTGAGAATCTATTGATTAATATTTGAATAGCAATGGTTGTGACAGCTTCTGAGAATTTTTCTTTCAGTAAATCATTTTGAAGCAATTTAATATACCGTTACCTATTCCCGTCATTTGCGAATTGTTTATAAATGTTCACAGGTCATCCCCATTTCTTCAATCAACTCTCCTGCGGTCTGGATCTCGTGTCAATGGCTGGAGAATGGCTAACAGCGACGGCGAACACCAACATGTTCACCTACGAGATCGCGCCAGTGTTCATCCTGATGGAGCACGTTGTACTGCAGAAGATGAGGGAGTTGATTGGCTGGAGCGGCGGCGATTCCATTCTAGCTCCCGGAGGCTCTATCAGCAACCTCTATGCCTTCCTCGCTGCGAGACACAAAATGTTCCCGGCTTACAAGGAACGAGGACTTTCAGCCATCGGCGGGCAGCTCGTTATGTTCACGTCTGACCAGGTACGTCTCAATCTACTTGGAAACAGAACACGCTACGAGCCTTATTCTGTACGAGTAAATCACAAAATTTTCGTTGGAAACTTTACAATCTTCAAGAGGATTCCTCTCTCCTAGTATTCTATCGAAGTTTAAATAAAATATTCAAACAATTAATTTATACAAATTTATTAGACTTCCAAAGTCCGAAACTCTTAGATATAATTGTTAACACTAGAACTACCAAGCACTTAAACTGACTTTTCCAAATTTCTTTCTAAAACTTATAACTGTGTATTTATTAAGACTTCAGTTGGTTTATATTTCAGTGTGGGTATTACTAAATCAGCTCCTTTAACGATTTCTCGGAGAAGCATCTGTGCCTTCTCAGTAATTGTATAAAAAGACATCAGGAATGGGTCACGTTGACCCATCTGGTAGTTCTAGTGTTAATAAGTTGTCGGTAGACACAGTTAATCTGCAGTGTCCGCGATACTTCGTTCGACAGTGTCATTATTCGGTGAAATCGTGTGCCGCTGTCTGCGGACTGGGAACGGACAACTGCGTGATGGTTCCGAGCGACGAGCGAGGCCGAATGATCCCGGGGAAGCTGGAGGAGCTGATCATGGAGCGCAAGGCGAAAGGACATATCCCCTTCTTCGTGAATGCCACTGCGGGAACAACTGTAATCGGTGCTTTCGATCCCATCCCAGAAATCGCTGACATCTGCGACAGGCACAAGCTCTGGCTTCACATCGACGTAAGGAAAATTGCCTAACGTATCATTGAAACCCCTGAACCTTCTAAAGATCGACAGCCCGCCGATAGATTACGAGAAATTACAAAATTATTAAGTAGCCGTCGCACCGGTTCATAAGTGCTAAGTAACTATTAGAGATGAAAACGGGGTGAATAGCACGTTTGGGAAGTTACAAAGGGACAACAGAGATTTCCACTTAGCCGGGCAGCTTATTCAAATCGGTTCGTCGTTCGGACGATAAATGCCAAACGCGTAAGAGCCTTAACGTTAATAATAGATGTGGGAATCGTCGCGCGTTTGGCTGGAGGCGAATCCACGGGGTAAACTGGGGGTAAAACTCGACGGATCCGGGCTTTGCGAGTCAACGCTTAACCTGCTCCTCTATTTTTCATCTTCTTACAGGCGGCTTGGGGTGGTGGACTGCTTCTCTCGAGGAAATACAGGCATCCTAGATTGACGGGCATCGAACGGTGAGTCTCGATTGTTTATGCGTTTTATTCGTTGCTCGATCGACTCCGCTCCACCCTCGTCGAAGCCTCTCTCCTTCGATCGGATACACCTCCACATGTGTTCCCCGCAAGGGTGCCTTAATCCTCGAGCTTTATAGTTTATTGAGGCTTAGTTTGATGAAGTCACTCAGGAAAAAAGGCTCGCTCACCGCTCGGGAAGCCTTAACGCGCTGCCGGCGTATAGCGAAATCGATAGGAAACTCCGAAATGGAGTCCAGAAAAATTACTTTGCATTAGAATGAGCCGATCCACTCTATCCGCGCGTGTTCCTCGTCGTTGCCGAAGCTCCGTTGGAGATTTCCCGTTGGAATTTTCACTTCCATCCGCTATTACTCTATCAGACTTCCAGAAACATTCTAAGATTAACGAACAACATGCACTATCTATATCGACCAATTAATTTCCCTTTCGATCGACGTACCAAGTCTTCACTGAAAGCTAAAGAGTATATTTAAACTTAGATTCAGAGACCAGATTACAAGATGTATTAACTAGAAACTTTCATCTGTTATTTAATGCTTCATTAACCACAAAATGAAGTAAAGACCCTGATAAGTCCATTAAAAAATTGCAATATCTACAGTATGAACGTTCCTTCCCAAGAATTCAGAGAATCCAGAGTTTAGGGTACAGCGACAAGCGCGATTAATGCAAATTAACCCATTAAATCCGATGCACGCGGCATTAAATGCCCGCAGCGTAACCGGAAGGGGCATGGCGAGCGACGCGGAAACGCGATACCTGCAGGCGATTCGCGGACAGTGTCGTAATCCGTGGAAACGAGGGTGGCTGCGAAAGGAGTGACTCCTGTCCGGGACACATGCGAACTTTCGCATACACGCCCGCAAGCACGCTGATGTCCGACCCCACGCCGGTTGCAATGGGGGTCAGGGATAGCCCTCCTCTCGATCAGCTCGGATGGGGTTGGCGAGATTAATCCGCGATTTGCATCCGGGCGCATCTGCTCCCTCCATTCAACGACGGACAGTCCCTGACCCGAAAAAACTGGCACGAGGCCTCCCAAGAAAATCATTTTTCCTCTTCAAAAGCCTCCTCCGGCCTTCCTATCGATGTGTCAACCGTTCCGCTCGGAGAAATTTATTCGTACCTTTGTTGCCGTGATTAATAATCTCCGCGGCACACCGTCGGATGATAAAAGACTGATTCGAGTGAATAAATGCAGAGCCGGGGGACTCTTTGTCTCCGCGTAGGATCCATTGAACGCGTGGCAACCTCTTTGTTAGTTTTTATTCGTATACGGCGAACCACGAGAATGTGTGATTACTTTCGACGAATTTCAGGATACTACGGTACGCATATTATTACTGTATGCACGTACTTTCGGTATTATTTTTCAAACAATGGCAGTGGCCAACCCTTTGGGGCACGATGTGTCTTTCAATTTGGATAGTCAACGTTATTTCGTTTGATTCGGGTTTAACGCGGGACTTTTATGATTTATTCAAGAACACTCGAGTATTAAAGTCGTTCTTATATACGATACAGTTATAATACTACGAAGAATTCAACTGGAAATTCATAAAATTCGTAGCTGATGGAATAAAACGTCGGGATCGCAATGGAGCAAACACTGATATACAAGAAATACGAGAATCTTAATCGGAACTACGGCTGGAAACTTAGCCGAGGAACAATGTTGCAAGAAACAAAACTTCTTGAACCCTCGCGGGACCATTTAACTGCGACAAAAACCGACATCCGTCCCCCGCCTGTTCGCCATTATCCGACTATCGACCATGCACGGCGCCGATTGTCGTTCCTTTTGGCGGCGACTGTACCGCGTAGGACTTCCTTCCTGAAGGTCTTGATTAAAATGGCAAACGAAAAGTCCGAAGGACGAGCAACAGCTGGATCAGTTCCCTGGAGCGCATTTGCTGAACAGAAACGCTCCTCTTCTATATCGACGCCGCCGCCGCATCGTACCGTGCCTTCCGCGGGCCTGAAATAAAAGACCGTGCCTCGACAATGCCGGATTAAACTCGTACAAAGGGAACTGCTTCCCTCATTCTCTCGTTGTCTGTCTTCGCTGCTGCTGTCTGCCTTCCCCAACCCTTCAGACAACGAACCAACAGAGAGAGAGAGACGGAGAGAGAGAGGGAAAGGGAACGTACCGTGATTCTGTCGTCGCGACAAAGTCAGAAATGATTACGCATAAAAGGTCCCTCCCGGAACGAGCAAGGTCTGCAGTCGGAAGTGAAGCTGCGTCTGTCCTCCTCTAACCTGCCATTGTGCGCTGAATATTCGGGAGTTCTTCCTTTGACGGTGCATCCGTCTGGGGCACAGTGCGTCGCGAATTCTTCAACGCACATCGCGTCCTCAGTCCTGGAAATTAGATTAATAGCGACATATTGGATTGACACGTAGCAGCAAAGTTTTCATTGATGTCACTCGTTCGAGGGAGGAGAGTGGTTTTGAGGGTTGAATTTATAAGTTAAACATTGACGATGAAACGTTGTAATGGTAAAGGGAATATTAATAAAGTTCACGTGGACTGTTTGACTTATTTAAATTGTTGTGTTCGCGCGCGGGATAGCGAGTTGGAAGGTTTAAAAGTCAGTTTCGCTTTTTCGTACTCGGGCGCCTGCTGCCCCGAGGGGGTGAGGATAATTAGCAACCCCCGTGGTAATATATATTGTGCGGCTTTTGGGGTTGGCACCTAGGACGAATTTAAGAGTGAACGCAGGGGTGGTGCACGCGCCAGCCCCAGCTGCGGATCGCATTAATCACTCGAGCTTTCTGTGCGGACATTATGCATACTCTTAACGCCGGCTTCTTTAACTAATAGAAAATCTGTACATGCCCCTTGAAACGTTGCTTCTAATTCGATTGAATTTTTGCTTCCGATGGAATCGAAGCTTGGTTGAATGAAGGTGAATAGGACAGATACGTTCAGCTCTGGGATTCTAACCCTTTGAACTCTGTAGGCTCCAATATTGCACCAGGAATAATATTAGATATTTTAATGAATCTTAAATAAACTACCCTACAATTATTAGATCTTTCACACATCCAAATTTTGCACTAAGAAGGAGAATAAAGGATCTAAGAAATGTTATAGCATTTCTCATTTTCGCTAGGGATACTATAAACATTAGTTGCAGTTGCCGATAGATTGCTAAACCATCTGGAGTGCTAAGGGTTAAGTAACAGGAATCTGTCGGACGATCGGAGGATTTACCTTGTACACCGGAGCAATGGAGACTTCATCGGATGCTTAAAACGTGTTCAACAGTAAGCTCTTGAAAGTAAATGCTACGGAACACGACGGAGTCGGACGCCGAAGAGGATGCAGAGAAGTGACTAATGGCAAACGCCTGTCGCCGACACGGATCTCTTTTCCCGCGTCGCCTCGAGTACCCTCAGCATCATCCGCAGTCAACAGACTGAAGAGACAGTGTCGCGATATATGTGTCAGTTGCCGAGTGTCGATAACGTTTGTCATAAAGCGGACAGCTGGTTGTCTGCTCTCTAGAAAACTGGCAAATGACGTGTTCCCAACGATACGCTGGTGTCCATGTTTCCGGTTAAACTGAATCTTCCCTTCGATGATGTTCAACCCTTAAATGTATTATTATCACTCGACGACATATCTATTGCTTCTGAATCTTCTCGCGTGCCGACGAAAATGATAACTTCGGAAATTTGTACAACTGTTGAATTATACTGTAGATGTTTCAGAACGAACATCTCTTTCAAATGTTTATTTTTCTTATTAAATCTTTAAATTTAAACAGGAGAAAGACAAAGACTAATGAAGTGATTTATAATACCTATAGAGTGAAATGAAACTTCCTTTGAAATACTATACAAAATTATTCCAGCATTGCATTTGGAGAAAGGAAATGATCGCCTTAATGATATGCAGCACTTGTTGATCGTTCCGAGTGCATCGCAAATTGGTGTCAAGTAGTACACAGCATCTCGCACTCAGCGATGGCCAGGATTAAGAAGGGTTAAGAGTTTTTACCGCAAGGGTGTGTGTCCCAGGCACGGAGGGTTAAATCCAATCCCGTGGCTATATTAATAGCTCTTCTCTCGAGTTGATGGACCACCGCGGCACGAAGGGAAGATAACTCATATTTCATCCCCTATTGGTCCCCGTGGGAGTGGATAAACGTTCGACGACCAGCTGGGCTCGCTCGGCTTTTTCAGCCACCTTGACGTGCCGGTTTTCGACAGGTTCCTGATAAAATCGTTGAATGGGGAATCTGGTTCAGGAGAAATCATTCACACCCCCTGTAACACATCCACCGTTCTATCTATTTAACACTCTGTGTACTGATCCACATAAAAAATATTTTAATAATATGTCTAATTATTGTACACAATTTTTCAATTAATATTCCTCGATCTCTTGGGAATGTCCACAGAGCTGACTCAGTAACCTGGAACCCCCACAAACTCATGGGAGCCTTGTTACAGTGCTCGACGATCCACTTCAAGGAGGACGTAAGTGATCAATAACTACAATTAATCTTAAACCTTCCGATCCCCGAAACGTCGAAGACCCTCTTCGAAAAGTTAAACGATGATCGGCAAAATTGAATGGAACAGAAATTCTTTACAAAATATTACTTCGTGGTTGTAAAGTTTGTGCACGATGCAACGTGCTGTGAAATCTGTATTATTGGCAGAGGGGTGAATAATTATTCCGCAAACAATAATAACAACGTCCGGCCGTGTTCACGCGTGTTATGCATCCGCGAGGAACGACGCAAGATCCTGCAACGAAATTCCAGGCGCCGGTAAGGGTGATGACACAACAGCGGCTGCATTCCGAGGGGTAGACGTACACGTCGGAACGCAGCACTGCAGGAATTTAATTAAACTAAGAGATAACATATGTTGCCGACCGTGCGACGGCTCGCCGGAGGGTTTGTCCCTCCCGACGCCTGCGTGGTTATTGCTGGCGCAGGACTTCCCCCTCGGATATTAAAATTCCGCGCACCGGCTGCCGCGAAAACGTTCCGGGGGAGATTCTATTCTTTCGTCGTTCTTGATATCGTTATCCCCACACCCTTGGAAAAATCGTTTGCGTTCGTCTGTACGACCGCCTTCCCACTCGGGATCTTAAAAAAGAAATGATCATTCCCAGGACGATTCTATTTCAAGTCCTCGCGATGCAGTTTTAATTAAACCCATTAACGTAACCACGCAGCTGTTTCATAACGATAAAACGCAGGGTTTCGTTGAAACGCGTCCACCGCAGAGAAATGAGAAGTTCCGCTCGATTTGAGGATTTCAAGAGAAACTTAATTACAATTCGAGTGTACAGAGATTATTTAACGAAAATAAGGATCGGCGATTAACGGCGAACGTTCGTTTCCAAGCTTCCAATTTAACTTTCGCGTGAAAGACTCGCAGAAACGCGTGAACACAATGGCTGCTAGGGTGGCGGAGTCCCGTCCGCCATTTTGTAAATTCAATATCCCTCAGTTTCCCTCCTCCTGCGCATGAGTTGGGTACCATATCGACCCGTCCGGGTCCGTTTATTCCTGTTCCTGTTCCGCGGCTGTCAATCAGAAACTTTCCCGAACGTGCCTCGAAATACGCATTGTCGGGGAGGAATTGAAAAACGGCACCCTCCGTCCGACGTGCGCGATCCATCGCCGCTTTATGCGTGCTTCCAGGGCCTCCTGATCAGCTGCAACCAAATGTCCGCCGAGTATTTGTTCATGACGGACAAGCTCTATGACGTGAAGTACGACACCGGCGATAAGGTGATTCAATGCGGACGTCACAATGACATCTTCAAGCTGTGGCTGCAATGGCGTGCCAAGGTAAACGCTCCGAGGATTCAATGAGGCTAACGGATAATCAACTCAGCTGATGGTTTTAATATCTCGAAAATTTCATATGAAGAGAACAATTTTCATTTGAAGAGAACAGATTCGTTTTGTAAGAACTATGAAAAGATTGAACCTTTTGACTACTATTGCCATTCTTGTAATAGTATAAAAAATTGATTCTCGTTTCAAAATACCTTTGTCTCTTTTTCTTTTTATTATCTGACGTCTTCTTCTGTTTCTTGTGTTATTTTCATGTTGCTTAATATCGTCACAGGGCACAGAAGGCTTCGAGAAGCACATGGATAGATTAATGGAACTGACGGAGTACATGGTCAGACGGATCAAGCAGATGCCCGACAAGTACTACTTGATACTCGAACCGGAAATGGTGAACTGCTGTTTCTGGTACCTGCCAACCCGCGTGAGGAACATGCCACATACTAGCGAGAGGATTAAGATTCTAGCTGATGTAAGACTCGTTATATCTTGTTGACAAACTTTTAAAAATTCTAAACTACAATGTTCTATGAGACTTAATTGCAACATGGTCGATAATTGTAGATGTATATCTCCGAATATTTTCAATTCAAAAAATCAGTTACGTTGCTTACCTTTTCCAAAATGAAGGGAACAGTGTCTCAAAGTGAAAATGGAATTTTCCTTTGCAGATCTGCCCGATTTTGAAGGGCCGCATGATGCAAGCCGGCACTCTAATGGTCGGTTACCAGCCGGACGACCAACGACCGAACTTCTTCAGGAACATAATCTCGAGCGCCGCGGTGACGGAAGCGGACGTGGACTTCCTGCTCGCCGAAATGGACCGGTTAGGCCACGACCTGTAAGAAACCTGCCTGTTCTAATTAGTAGCGTAATCAGCGGCGGTGTCGCGGCGCGAATTCGATCCTGCTGTTATATAGAAACTTCATCAGTGAACAGGGGAATCGCGTCGCGTTTCATTACGTGTACAAAAATTCCGGAGGCCAAACACAGATTCGCAATCATGATCAGGTAAATTAAGTATCAGAGACTGGCCGACACTCTCCGATAATTCGATCCAATAGCTACAGGAAAAGTACAGTTATTTTTAATTTAGCTCGTCAGGAGTAGATCAGACGCATTGAATTTGAAATTGAAATTATCAAGGACATTCGAACGGCTTCCAAATAGCAACGATTTGTTTCGAAATACTCGAAGGTAATGATTCAAGTTGAAATAGTGATGGCGAAACGCTAATATTCGGAGAATATTGAATTTCTATGGAAACAATGGTAAAGAGAGAGGGTTGGCCAACGAATCATCGTTCGTAGTACGAATAAACGCTTCTTCAACGTATTAAAATGAAAGCTACTGATCGAAGGATACTCATAGCGTGTAAGTTCTTTAGGTTTGTAAGCACACAGCATATCCAGGAAAACGAAGGAGTCGGGTTTACAGAACTCTAGCGACGCTTCCGGCCGTAAATGTTACTAGCCTTCATTCCTCACTGCTCTACAGTTATCACTAGGAACGGAAGGGAAACGCATAGGAACGACGTGTATCGACGTCATGAACCGAAGCAATAGTTGAAATATTCCTGCTTCGATAGCTCGCGTTCGGTTGTTGATTTTGGTCTTCAGTTTACGATCGAGACACGTTCCATGTCGGATCTCAAGCGGACGACGCACTTCCGTTTTGTAGGGAAAATATTTTATGAACGGAAGAGAGAGAAACAGCTTCGTCGAAGGTGAGCAAAATTTTCTTCGAAACGTTTCCCTTTAAATTTCACAATTAATTTCCTCTATCTTTGTTCTATCATTCGAAAATTTTGCTCGTCTCTGTTAATGCACACTTAACATTTAACCGACTGAAAGTTTCAAGTAAAACTACATATGTTTTTTGGCAAGTATTTTCATTTGATCAAAGTTTGAAGTGAATTGTTTGAAAATTGGAAGAACTAAAGGGTTAAATGTGAAAGTATACAGACGACGAATCAACATCGAGTTCCCGAGATCCGACTTACATTGTTCCGTGCTCGTTACGCGTAGTTGCAACGGATCACAAACGAGAAAGAGGTACAAAATATTTTTACTTGGGACGGTTACGCTACGGAGATAATTAAAATAGGATAGTGATATTGATTGATTTGTTCCGCATAGAATCTAAACCAGCTGATGCTGCGAGTTACTTTGTTGAAGAGACTAAATGAATTTGTTACTTATTGATCGTTTGCGATGGTATAAGAAAAATGGCCCGCATCCATTACTATACAAG